CCTTCAGCTACAGCTGTGGTGGATGTAGATGTGTATAAGAGATCATCTCTGCACTATCTCCATCTGCGTACTGGGGATATTAAACTGACCTTCAGCTACAGCTGTGGTGGAGGATAAATGGGCTGACTGACATAAGGTGTGCAATGGTGATGGAATTTTTATTTACAACACTCATCTTTGTGGTGGGCTGTGCACATGGAAGCATGCTTTCTGGAGAAATGTACAAATCCTCCCAAAGACATTCAAAATCACTATACACAGACTCTCTCTCCTTATACCTGCCCCCCACCTTGATGAACCTCATTCGATTTCATAAAAACGACACTGCAGCTAACAGGGACTATGTAGGATGGTCACCCCTCTTCAGTACACTCTTAGTAATTTCTTCCCAAACGTCGTTTCCAATAGGAAGCTCCAATGAGAGTGGTTCTCCAGAAAAAGCAGGTAAGAAAGTGTCACCTTTCTCAACACTAAGATTTTTCCTTAGCAAAAAGGTGATCCAAGAATACGTACCATTTGTTTCTGTGAATGGCTCTGCCTGCATTTAGAGAAAGAAAACACCATGAGGGTAAGATCATGCTGCCTGTGTACACAAGTCTTTTCTAAACTTGGTGCTACTAGAAAACCCAATGGGAAATTCAGGTGGAGGCAACAGCCACAAAAATAAAGCCTAGGAAACACCTGTAGAAAGGCACCACCTTTTTGTGCAAGATTTTAAAGTTTAGTTTTAAATTCATAATTTTCAAAAAGGGTTTTCTCCTGAAGAAAATGCTGCTGACATAGTTTGTAACTGAAGCTGTCATCTATGAATGCCATCTGGAATCAGTTCTTAGCTGGTAATGAATTCTCATTTTATATTTTCCCACCAAGAAAATATCTAAGTCATCTATAATGTACATGGTAGTGAGATTTTCCTATCTTTATTCAAGTGAAATTGAAAGAAACTTAGGAAAATGAAATTCTCCTTTCAGGGAAAGAAAGGACAACTTACACTGACAACAGTGAGGATCCTCTCAGTGGATGCCTCATGTGGATATACTGCTCCAAGCTTCTCTTGATGATCTAGGAGACATAGGGTAAGTGTCACCACATGGATTCCACTGAGGGAATCCCTCGGGTTTATTGGGTGGTGTGCACGTGAGGCTGGCATGTGTGAAGAAGGTGGGTTACCCCAGATGGAGTTGCAGGCCCAACCTCCTTCATGGTGAAGGCAGGCAAATGAGACCATGAGGAAAGCAAGGGAAACAGAGCCTTGGGCCTCTAGCTAAGGCAAGCTCATCAATGACACACAGCTGGTCTCAAAGACGGCACACCATACGGGGCAGGCTGTGCTTCCCTACAGCGTCTCAGGTTCCTCCTTCCTAATCTGACCTGAGCGTACTTGCCCTCCCTTTGTGATCCCTTCTGAGGTCATTTCCTGCTCAGGATCCACATGTGCTGCTGCTGTCCATCATCCCTCCTAAAATATTTGGTACTGCATAAAAGCAACCCTTCTTCAAAAAAACTTAACTCTAGCCAAAAAATACTATGACTTCACTGAACCTTTGATTCAAAGAGAATTAAACCAAGATTTGAAAATATTCAATTATCCTACCATTTAAAGAGGACCCGCACTTAGCTTATTTGTCCTTCCACTCTTTCTTTTCAACACAACGTATGTGTCCCTGGAGTCAGCTGCTGCTCATGCTCACACTGACTCCAGCACTAGGACAGCCCATCACGGGGGGCAGTAGGTGGGGGGGCTAACACTAACGCTCTCCAAACTAGCTGTGCAGGAAATCCCACCGAGGTGATGGACACCAGAACACCCCAGTTCTTCCTTGAGTTCTTATTCTGCACTGTGTATTGGATGTGTGGGCTGAATTACGGCATATGGAACACGTGTGGCCATTATATTATTAAACATAGTAGAATATGTCCCTGATTGTTCTGTGCCTTTTTTTTTTTTTCCAGATGAAATCTCACTCTGTTGCCAAGGCTAGAGTGCAGTGGCACGATGAAGGCTTAGTTGCAGCAAACCACCATGTCACATTTATACCTATGTAACAAACCTGCACGTTCTATACATGCATCCCAGAATTTCAAGCAAAATAAAAACAATAAAAAAAGTAAACCCACAATGCATACCTTCTGCCTCAAAGTGTACTCTTTCCTGCAATTAGAAGAAATAAAAACATGATGAGAGTCAGACCACACTGTGTCCTGTGTGCACAGGTCTTTTCTGCATTGTTGACAT